TGCCCCTTCCTGGTGATGCAGTCATTACCTGACATACAGATCCTTCTGGTTCAGGAGTCGGACTCCTTCCTCATAAAGGGCTTTGTTTTCCTCCTTCATCAGTGAAAGTTGCTCTGAAAGCTTCTGGTTCTCCTTCTGACACTGGAGGTGCTGGAAAACATCTATTTTTTATTTGTGTGTGTGTCCTCAGCTGTAGGGGCCCCTCTGCCTCCTTTTAGTCTGGTCTCCAAAGCTTCTCTATCATAAATCCCAGTGGTTCCCACTACAGATAATATCATAGAATGCTTTGGGTTGGAAGGGACCTTTAAGAGTCATCTAGTCCAAGCCCACTGCAATGAGCAGGAACATCTTCAACTCCATCAGGTTGCTCAGAGCCCCATCCAGCCTGTCCTTAAATGTTTCCAGGGATGGGGCATCTACCACCTCTCTGGGCAACCTGTGCCAGTGCCTCCCCACTCTCATTGTGAAAAAGATAGCTATGTGATGGATATCCATCCATTCTGCCCTCCAAGGCCACTGCCTCCTCCCCTTAAAGAAGGGGGAATGTGGATTTCTGCGCTGCTGGGAGGGTTGTAGGCTTCAACAGGGCAGAGAGAGGCCGTGCAACCTCCCAGACAGCGGACTCTGCCAAAAATTTCCTGCAAAAAGCTCCATGCTCTGCCAGAAAAGGGGAAGGGAGAGGGGAAGAAGCCATCAAGTCCTCCTTCTGTGCCCTCAGAGCTGCATCCCCAGGAAACCTTCGTGAGATGGGATGGTGCTTCTCCTCCAGCTCCTGCATAAATCAGTGGGATCTGCAAGGGCTCAGCACCTGGCTGGGTGTGACCCTATTTCAGCAGTTCCCATGTACAGATTTCACACTGGGATGGTCCTGTTTCCCCCTAGAGCTCAGCGGTCTGCTCTGGAGTCAGCCACCAGGACAGCATCCCCTTGGGTGATGAGCCATCCGTGGTGCAGCTCACCTCACTCGAGTCAGTTTTCCTCTCATCTTCTAGGACGTGCAGAGTCTTGGCCTGCAGCTCCACGTGCATCTTGGCCAGCGACGCCTCTGTCTCCCGCGAATGCTGGAGCTGCTGCCGCAGCTCTTCCACCTGCTGCTCCAGGAGCTTCCTGAAAGCATGTTGGTGTGACATGAGACATCCACATGGAGGCCAGCCCGTGGTGTGCCACCATGAATTCAAGGCTGGCTGTGATCTAAAGACAACACCATGCTGCTCTGCACCTGCCCTGGGAAACACTGAGGGTAGAAAGAAATTGGTACATCCTAGTTGTCCCCGTGTCCCAGTGGCACGTGCGAGGGTGCATGATGTAGCTGGGATCATCAGCCCCAGCTGCAGAAGAAAGGGGACTGCCGGCATCTAGAGGGTAAACCAAATCACTGGGCTGGCAGGAGGGACCAGGCACCTTCTGAGGCCGCTGACATCTCCAAAAATCTTTTACATCTCATAAAGAGGGGATCCTGCCAGGGGCACTGGCAGATCAAAAGGAGAGATAGGAAGTAAAACCAGTGGTGCAGTGGCTCCTTGAACCCACCTAGGGCCAGCCATGGAGCTGCAGGAGGTAGCTGCCGGCTGGCAGAGCAGCATTTGCTGGCACAGACTTGCCCTCCACAGGCAGCAAGGCCTTGCCCAGCTCTGGGTACCTTTTCAGCTGCTCCTCGTGAAGTTCTTGCTGCACGCGAGCTTCATTTTCTCGGGCCTCCTTCAATTCCTCCTCCAGGAGTTTCTTGTCTGAAACACGGGCCTCTGCCAGCAGGAGCTGGTGTTGTGAATCTTTCAGCTTTTGCTGGAGTTTTGAAATCTTGGATTAAAATTGGACACAGATTAAACTTTCTGAATTTATAGGCCAGTATCTGAATCCAAGGGACTCAGATCCCTTTGATCCCTCAATATCCAAGTCATGGGAATGAAAGATTTGCTTGCTTCTACTCAAAAGTACTTCTGCCTGTCTTTGTGTCAGAGTCCGTTAAAAGCAAAACCTTTCAAACGGCTACCAGATTTTTGATCAGACACTACGTCATGAATTGGCAACAATCCTTTTTGCACCTAATTTGATCCTGCACGCTTCAAAACCGACTCAAATGATTAGTGCAGGAACATGGCAGTATCAATGCCACGGAAAACACAAGCTTTCACAATTTACCAGATAGCAACAGCAGCAAATCTCCTCAGCAGGAACAAGACCTGGGCTCCCTGCCCCTGCCAGCCCCACTATCTGTATTTTCAGAGATATTGAGCTTCAGAGAAGCAGTTGAGCCATCAGATTTGGCTTCTATTGTCTTGATTATGCTCCCACTAACAACTGACGTTTTTCCTAAAATATTTAGTCAAGTGATCTCAAAACAGACTAGCAAAATGGACTTCAGGGAACCAATTCATGAGCTGCTACTGCTTCTTTTTTCTGAACTACCGTTGCACTAAACTGCTAAAAACATACCTCCTGTTAACTTAGCTCACGCTGACGAGTTACCTTTTTTTGTGCTTCACATACTTTGGATTTCTCCTGTGCAAGTTTCTCTTGCAGACCGCTTTGCAGTTTATCAGCCTGGGAGCACTTCAAGAGCTCTTGTTCGAGTTCTTTGACCTTCTGCTGGCTTTTTTCCCACTGTGCTGAGAGAGAGGAGCACGTTTCGGTTGTGTCCGAGAGTTTTGCCCGGGCTTGCTTCAGCTCAGCTTTGACCTGAGGTTCAAAAGAAGAAATCAAGTTTGCAATTTAACATACACCACCTGAAATGTCTTGATTAGGAAAGGGGCAACAGGATTATCTGAGAGTGAACAAGAATAAAAGAGAAATACAGGGAGCAAGTACAGCACGTTTTATTTGGAGGCAGTGCAATTTCCGTGGAGCTGAGGCAGAGCACACTTGAGAGCCCACGTACTGTACAGTCCAATGTAAATGAGGTCCCGTCTGTTGAAGTCAGCACCTCCGGCCTCCCATACCTCGTAAAATTGTGTGATGCTCTCTTCAAGCACTTCTCCCTGCTCTGTTCCTACCTTGGTGCATTCCTGTTGGAGCAAGAGATTTTGCTTTTGTAAGTCAACGTTCTTCTCCCTTTCGTATCTCAGCTCCCTCTCGGCCGAGCTGCACAAGTTCTGAACTCGACGCAAGTCCTGCCGCAGCTGCTGCATTTTTTCCTCCTGCTGCTGGAATCTCTCATTGGACAGACTCTGCAGGAACAGCAAAATGACAAAGGTTACATGGAAATTAACTTCAAGGAAAGATAAAGACTGGTAATTAAGAAATGCCAGTAGGATTTAAGGGCATTTAAGTAGGAAGATGGGTAAAGCCAGGCAAGCATTTCTTCTGCCCCAACACTATGTCCTGCTCCCTACCCTGCCCATCCCCTCAGAGAAGCCAATACAACTCTTGAGGTCGAGGGAGAAGGTGCAAGAACCTGGATGAGGGAACAAATCCCTGTTAAAACTAACTCGTCAAACAAAAGCAAAACCACCCAGGTTACTCTTAACTCTCGTGCCAGTGTCTCACTAAGGCAAGGAAGCAGGAGTGGCACATCCAGCCGCAGCTCCCAGAGGCAGCAGGAACAAAGCGAGTCCTGGCAGCGGTACAGAAACAGACAGGCTGGCACAATGCGACAGCAGCCTGGACACCGTGAGGTGGTCACCGGTGGTCTATGATGGCTTTCAGAAGATAACTGAGCTCTTTGGTTCACCCACCTTCTTGCAAGTGCCTTGTTCACAGACTAAAAGTTCTTCCCATGTTTGGTGTACCAAAACCCTTCTTCTCAACATCACTTTCAGCCATCTGTCAGTCTACATTCCCACTTTGCATCTTCACCCTCTGTTCCTAGGGCTAGATGAAATCCACTGAAGATCAAGCTTTCCTTTGCAGATAAATCCCCAAGGTGGGAAGTCTTGATCCAGTGCTGTGGGATCTCGCAATATCATCTGTCCTCGAGATCAGTTAGGTTTTGTGGGTTTTTTTCCCCCACCTGCTTCCACTGGGGTCCTTTTCAGCATCCCCTCCACACCTTGTATCTTGCTTTGGTCTGCTCTAACTGTACAGACTTGCTGCTTCTTGGTATCAGCACGACTCTGATCCTCTCCTTTCCACTCCCACTCTGGCCCACAGGCCACCCTGTCCTCTCCTCCTTGCATATAATCCTTGCTCCTCCTCACACTCTCCATCCTGGGTACCGTCATCATTTCTTCCCCTTTTGGCAGGGCTAGCTTCTCTTCCCTTTCTTTTTCAGATCGCGTGGTAAGAAAGGTGAACAAATTGCCTTTAAAACACAGGTAAAGGTAGTGACAAATAGGGGTCTCGCCTGCCAGCTGGTAGAGCACTTGGAGAGCAGAAACTGAGACACGAGCACAGGGCTGCAGCAGAACCAAGCTGCTTGTGAGCTGGCACCGCAGGGCAGCAGTTACGGGGCGAGTTCAAGCACTGGAGTGTGAGAGCACAAAATCCCAAGGAGGAGCGGGGAAGAGGAACAGCTTCTGCCTACAGCAAGAGCAAGCCAACTCTATTTCTCACACTCCAAACGGGAGCTGAGAAAGAGCTCCAAAAGGTTTAAACATCATTTAAGGACTGTATAACTTCTTTCATGTGTACTAAGGGAGTCATTTAGTTTATCCAAGTTCCCACCACATCCAAAAAGACAACAGAAGGAAATGATGACATTCATAATTTCCGAACATTTTCCCCAAGGAAATCGGCCAGACTCATCTCCCCCCGGCACGCTAACCCTACAGGACTGGCTTCCAGTCCACTTTAATTAGGTTTTGCCACGTGAAAAGAAGTACAGTGCAGATGGCAAAGCTGCCCATACCTGTTTAACGCTCCCATCTAAACCTCCTGCAGAGCTCTGCGACACGAGAAACCTGTTCTCTCTATGCGCCATGCCTTGATTCGTCCTCAAAGTCTCTTCAAGCGTGCTGTCGACCTGCCCCCGGGTAGTCAAGATATCTTGTTTTAGCTGGGCAATTTCTTCCAGTAACAACCGTTTTTCTTCACTGCTCTCTTTCAGCTGCTTTTCTAGCTCCTCCCTCTTCTTGTTGCTTTCTAGCAATTCAGAACTTGAAGGAGAAATAGTAAAGGAGAGAGATAACTATACACATCCAAGGGAAACCACCCTCTGAAGGGGAAAAACTTAGGATACGAGAGTCCAGTGAAACGCTCAAAGCAATGCTGAAGCGTCTCAGGAGGTTCCAAAGGGGATGTAATCCTGGGGCTAGCAGTTCTGGGCAAGGGTCAGTCTCCCCTGGACACCAACCCACAACAAAATGTGTGTTCCAAGGGTCAGCTCTCAGTCATTCACGAGCAGATTAACTGCTGGCTAAGGAAACACTCACATGGGGCCACGAGAGCTGGCCTGGGCTCACAAGCAGCAGAGCAGCACTCGCCCAACACCTCGCTGTATGCAAGTACGGGCTCAGGTCTCCCAGTCAAGCTATCCGACTTATATTGATGCAAACTGTATGTCCTTATAAGCTAAGCTACCTGTCTTATCCTGGTTTTACTTTATTCTCAGTATCAAGTTATCCAGGTAACTGAACTGACTGTAACTATACTGGATTTAATCCAAGCTTGTACTTACTAATAACAGCCTTAGCATGGATGCTCCAACTCCAAATTTCTATTGATCTATTGAAAAAGGGGAGTCGGGGGACCTGTCAGAACTTCATTTACAGCCCTGACGCCTGCTGTCACCTGCCCTCCAAGGACACCCGGAATCCACAGCAGGGTGTGTACCATCAGCAGCTGGCAGCCGTTAGCCCCAGGGAGCCCAAGCCCACGATGGGAGCTGTTTGGGACCGCGTTAGTCCAAATACCACCTCACTCCAAGAGAAGCAGCCTCCTCCCTAAGGACAGCTCTCATTTATGCCATTCAGAATCTGGAACAGCTGCAGAAAAAAAGGTTTACTCCCGACTGATCATGGTGTCACTAAGGGAAATGCTTATTCACCAAAATCCCTCCAGAGAGACGATTACCCAATAAGGAAGACACAAAGCTGCTGTGCCCGTTTTTGCCAGAAGCAGCACTACCGGGATTTTTAAAAGACTGAAAAATGAGTCAGCAAAGATCAGGAGCAGAAAGTACCATAGGCCTTGTTAAGGTTTACCAGAGCAGTTCTTGTTCATCTCTCAAGTTTTTGATCTGTTCTTCCAAAAATACTACTTTAGCCATCTGTTCTTCATATGTCTTTTCATCTGTACATACATCTTCATGTTTCTGCTCGAGTTTGTTAATCTGTTCTCTTTCTTGTAGGAGTTCAGAGACCTGTAAGGTCAGAAAACACCACGACTTTGATTTTCTTTGGTCTCATAGAAATCTCTTGAGTAGTATAAGGCAATCTGGGGACTCCATCAAGACATAGCTGTGATTTTGTAGCTAAGTCATTGTCATTCTTCACTCCTGAAGATGCACGTGCAAGTCCTTTTTTCTGCATGGGAAGTAGCTGTGTGTAAACTATCATCAGAACACATTTCTTTATTTGATTTCATCCTTCTGTTGCCCATCGGTAGTTCTCAGGGCTTTATATCATGTGCCATACCTCTTTACAAAACTACCAACTCTTGGGAAAACAGGAAGAGTACAAGGTGTGTATTCAGCTGTCTCACACAGAGAGCATCCTACATCCAAGTGAACCCAAATAAAGCTTTCTATGGCTGGCTGCTCTCCACTTTCAGCATCACCTAACGCCTTAACGCCAGGCAATGGCAGACCCAAAACCTGAGACGTGAAGAGAAGATGCCAGGAAAATAAAAGGGGCGAGAAAGGAAGGCACGAGCAGTGCATAAGGACACTGGAACTCCCAGACTGGATAAGAATCTGCCTAGTCTAATACCTCCTGCTAAGCCGTGGTGAACCCAAATCCTTCAAAGAAAAATGCTATTAATCCCACTAAACACTAGCAATGACACTGATTCCTAAAGCTTTTTAATCAATAGCTCTTCCTGAGTGTATGCTGGCACGAATATTTCAATTCCAGGTCTTCTTATCTACACCACGATGAATTTACCTATATTTGAGCAACATACACTAGCAGCTTCTGTCTGCATCGGGTACCAGAACAACTGGAATTTCTTTACATTTCTCACCTCTGTATCTAACAAAGCATTATCTTTTTGTAGCTCCTCATGGGACACATTAATGTGATCTCTGCTTGCTGATGTTCTTTGGAGACTTGGGAAGTTATTACAATGGCTTGTAAACTCTGATTTTGAGTCAGGCAACCCCTGGGGAGGAAACAACAGGAGTTAGCGGATGTAATACACCCTTAACTACCAGCTCAGAAAAAACTCTCTCCTCTCAAACGTCCAAAAACCTCTTAAAAACAAGAAGAGAATTTCAAACAAATGCAAAGAGCTCTTTGCATACACGAACTCATAGCCCATCGCTGACATTGACAAGAACAAAAATATTACCCAATTTACTCGCCCCATTCTATGGGTTGGACACCCTGACAAACACAACATTGAACAACCTCAAATCTTGACCTCCAGGTGTGTATCACCCATGAGAACCCGATGATTTCATGCCAAGCTAATTTTGAGCACTCTATTGGTAAACAATTCGTCCCAATACAGCTGCTCTACCAAAAGGGAATGAATCCATTTGTGAAGTCAGGAATCCCACCAAACATATGCAAAGTCATCTACTTTAAAGACCGTTATGGTCTAACGCAGGCCACTGATTTTATCTCATGGTCCCCTTGATGAAAAACTAGTCCTCTCCTTAGGCAAAACCACCAGCCAGCTGGTGGCTGAATCACAACCAAACTTGCCGGGATGTATGATTTGGATTAAAAGGTCCCTGGACCAGGAGCAGATTGAACTATTGGGATGCAAAGGTTAAAGAGCGACTCTTCCCATTTTCCCTATCATCCCCCAAATCAGACAATTCCTTTTCATGTGCATATTCATAGGCTGACCTAGCCTCTTCCTAAACAGCTCTTTGGCAAGGCTTGGTCCACATCCCGAGCTTTTGCAATGTGAATTTGTTGCCTAACAGCACTGCAAAAGTCCTGTCCTCTAGATGCCACTGTTCCTCCAGCAAGGCTCTTGTGCATATGCAGTTGCGTGAACAGTTCAGGACTTTCATTGTTTTTTACTTACGTTCAAGGAAGTGATATGACTCACATCTGGTTTAAGGCCTCTCAGAGTGCTAAAAAATGGGTTTTGTAATAGATGTAAACCATTCCTTTGCCAGACTCCCTCAGGTCCCCCTTGTCTGCCTGATCCAGGCCACAGATCTGCAGGTCTCCTAAAGTTTTAGCCTAATTTTCAGCCTCTATCCTGCCTATGCCTGCACTAGTCCTTGTGCAATTTTGCTGGCATTACACACTCGCTCTCCTATGGCCCAGCTGGAAGACAAGAGCACCAGCAACTCTCCCAGCAGAGACAAACCCACCAGAACTCTATCGAGCAGTTCAACTGCTTCAAGCAAAGTGTAGAGAGGTCCTTGGGGCATGTAACAAAAAACAGCGTCGGGATCCCAGTGAGCTGCTCATGCAGACTTCTGTGACTCTTGGGTGTTCTGACTCCTTATCATGCCATGTTTTGGTTAAGAATATTAAGGTGCCTCGTGTTAAACAGATTCAGAATTAGCCCAACCTCAGAAAAGCGGTTGCTGCTAACAGGTCACCATGATGTTGCTCTGCAGGGAGGCCTTGGCTCAAACCTACAAGTACCCTGTCACGTTGTGACACAGAGAGATGAAGGCTCATGATCACGAGCCTTACGGTCACAAATAACTCTGCAATGAATACCTAAGTCTGAAAACTTCCACTCTGCCCTCTAGAGAAGGGGGCTTTGGCTACAAAGTTTGAATTACTGGTTTTTCATTAGATTCACAGAAAGGAAAAATAAATTATGGAGCTAGAGACAGTTCCATTAAAGCAGATGGATTTAAAACCATCTGCCAAAGAAGCTTTCAAACTGGCTGGACTAGATAAATGCATCAAGAGAAGTCAAGAAACGCACTTGGGGGGCAACTGGGGATGTTTTACGGAGTCATCCAAAGGCAACTGCCTCCTGCAGAGAGCCCCACATACCTGGCTGCCCAGTACCACCTTCTCAGCCTTCAGATCTTCTCGTAACAGTTCAAGCTCAGATGCAAGTTGCTTTCTCCGTTCTCTCCGCTCTCCCAGCTGACTTCCCAACTTTTCTATTGTTTCCTGACAGCTTTCCAACATCTGGAACAAGCAAAATTAGGAGTCACTTGCTAGAATAAATGATGCTGCAGAAAAGAGAAACAAATTGCAGAAAACGTGTCTTCTAGAAAACAAGGATAGGAAAAAAAGTTGCCAGCAGGATTCCTGCAGCTTATACCCAGGGCTGGCTGGACATCTCTGAAGGCCTGGAGCCTCCACCTGACCCAAGATACCTTGGGAAGGTCCTCTCCCACATGTAACAAGCTCTGTCTGGCTTATACCCCTGGCAGGTCCAATTGTCTGGCTGGCAAGTAACAAATCCACAGCAAAGCCAGCCCCAAACCAGCTGGGAAACAGCCTTGTAAATGTACCTGCGTGCTGCCTAGGTTTCACTAAACCCTAAACAAGAATCAAGCACCTTTACACATGTAATCTTCACCCTCACCGGGGAGTCAACAAGCTCCTCAGCTTGCAGGGCTGAATGCAAGACAATCTTGTAAGAGAGATGAGTTATCACAGAGATCATATTGGCACGTTAGCTGCCTTCCTCCAAAGACATCCATCTGTCTTACCTGAGCTAATGGCTACAAATTCTCAGAAGATGGTGACAAAGAGCATTCACAGGAGATGCTCATTTAATGTGTTTTTAAACAAAACAATTTACTTGCCAAGGAAAACCTCTTACCTCTTGCATCTCTTGTGCTCCAGACGATGCCTGCTCTTCCCCATTCATCTCAGTTTTGTTCTTCTGCACTTCAAGTAACTCTGTTTCTAAACTTGTGATCTTAACATAGACAAACCACAAGTTAAACGCAAACCAGTACTCACAGCTAGTACTAAATGCACAACTACTACTAAATTTCTCCTTGTGCTGCTGTTACAGAATTAGGCCCATGTTTGGAAGCAAGGAGTAGGAGGGGACGTGGACAGCCGCCAGTGTGGGCGAGCTCCAGCTCACATCTTTCATCCTGCTGCTTCAAAGGGTGAAGGAGTCGTCCAAGGCCAAGTCAGAAAATAAAAGAACCCCACTCCACAAAAGGAGAGAAACGACCCAGACACATGGTGAAAATTCAAGGACTCCACAGCTTGTGGCCCTTCTATGCACTGCTCTCCCAACACGGAGGACCCCGTGAGACCCTGATTTATATCGTGGGCCATCCTCCTCTCCCATGCTGTTGCAGTGCCCACTCCCCTGCAGCTGATCCCATCCGAGCAGATGTTCGACCTGGTCCCCCAGGACTTGTCCTGGTCCCTCCACTGCTCAAAGGAGCTTGTAACTCCCTCCTGCAAGGCTCCGAGGACTCGACTTGAGCCCGCCAAACGCTGACCTCCGTGCTTCTCCTGGCAGAGAAGAGTTTGTCTGGACAAGTGCTCGCTCTGCATTTGCACCATCTCACGCCGAGGCATCTGCCCTTGTGGAGGGATCTCGTGGGAACGATTATTAGTCCTGCAGTTTTAAAGGGCTTAAAGGAGCTAGGAGCAGTCCAGCTTCTCCCCCCGATTATGGTTCCTGCAGACCCTTTTGCAAAATCCGTGTCTTGGCACTCACAGCCACTCTGCTCCGCCGCCAGCCAGCACGGCATCCAGCAGCCTTTCTTTTCAGCTCCTTACGCTCAGAAGAAAGTTTGTGCTGGTTTTCTTATTTCTAAACCACCAAGGTGGCCTCCTTAACTGCCTGAGCTGGGCTTTCACTGAACGAGGCTGCAGAGCAAGTGGGGACACTGGAAGGAGACGAAGCCCAGCTGCAGATGAAATCCAGCATCATCTGTACACAGCACGCACCGTACCCGTACAGGCAACATCCATCGCTCCACTCACACAGACGAGTGTACAGTGAAGCACACAAGATGCCTTACGCCTTTCTCACCCTCCTTTCTCCGCACTTATTCGGAGATCATTTTTCATTCCTTTCCAACAGGAACCCAAAGCCAAGTCTCTGCCAGCCCCAGTCCATTTAAAGTGGTTACAAAGCAGCGTGTCAAAGCCCAGGAGCTTTGCTTTCACTGACAGGCTTCAGGCACAAGACGGATCTCCTGAGGCTCCCAGCAGGGAACGATCTCTAACAGAGGAAAGCTGTCGTGGTATTGTTTTTTTAAGACAGATGATGTTACCCAACCTAGGTGTTAAAAGCAAATCGGTGGGCTGAAACACTCAGGCCTCTTAACAGAAGAGCTAGAGGGCAATAAACCCCCCTGCTCTTGCATGACAAGAGGATAGTTTGGGGTTCAACAAGACTTTGGAGTTCTGGAAGGGATCTCAAAGGTAAAATACACCTCCCTTCCACACCCCTCAGCCAACCTTTGGTTGTGAAGCTGATACCCAGCTATGCATTTCCATCATTTTGCTTATTTTTCCTCCAAGCCACTAACTTTCAAGCATTTAAGTTGGGCTCGTCATTCTCGTGCCAACAGCAAAACAATACTCACATTGTATCCTGCTGTCCTCGTTCCGAGTCAGTGGCCTAATCAGCCAAGATTTTTGTAGGCATGCCAAAACAGAAAAGACTTCCAAGCCCTTCTCACATGAGGCAGGCTGGCAAACACCCAGCGGCGCTGCGTTCTCCGGGCTCCAGCACACCTGCCTTCGTGCAGTCCTCCCCTCATCACCTCCAAGGCACCCAAAAGCCCCCGGGAGATGAAGGGTGCAGCTCGAGAGCCCTCCATCTGAGCAGATGCTGGATCTCACCAAGAGTTAACCCACCTCCTCTTCCATCCCACAGTCTGCCCGTCTCTCCTCCGTGGCCCTGCACGCCTCATTTCTGTCGTTTTTTCAGCTACAGCGGCTGCCAGGCCCATGCCAGCCGAAATGCCTTGCATCTCCTTGGCTACTCGGCGCTCCCCGCTGCATTCACGCTGCGTCCCCCAAAGCGGCGTTCCCAGGGATCCGTTTAACAACGCATTGAGCAAAGAAGGGATTTCTCCAAACTGAAAATGCATTTTGTTTGATTCGGGGGGGGGTTGTGTTTATTCTACTTCAGTGAGAAAGTGAGAAACATTTTATTGTGTGCTGAACAAGCCCTGATTTAAACAAAAGCACAGCCGTGGTGGGCAGACCTTTTACCATTCCCATCAGAGCGTCTGTCCTTGGCTCCTCAGCTACACGCTTAGAAACATGATGTCTGCTGGCATCCTTCATCAAGATATTTGAACATGCCTTCAGTCTGTTTCACTGTATTTAGAGACTTTTCCCTCACAGCCAGAGGCTACCGATGAGCAATTAATCTTTTCTTCCTTTGAACAATTAATCTTGGAGGTGTATGGCTACTTCAGCATTCACACGGGTTACGCCGTCACGCTTGTGCGATCTCCTACATCGTGTTTTACCACAACAGCAAGTGTACGGACGTGTCTGAGCACCGCTCACTCCTGACTGAAAACCTGTGCGTGCCCTTCCTTCTCACCTCCAAAATCCAGGGTCCTCTAGGGACACTACGGACTGGTCCGGCTGCCTGGCAGTCCAAGATCACTGCAGAGGGCATCTCTTAACCACAGACAGAGGGGAGAGGGCAACTCAGCCCAAGGAAGGAAGAGCTTTGGCCAGACAGCAGGGCTTCAGCCAAAGGAAAAGACCTCCTCAGCCAGCCTTTTTGGGGAGAAGCCCACCTACCCATCAAGCAAGACCAACTTCTGGCTTCCTCTGTTCTCTCTGGCTATAAAATCTCCAGCTGCCCGGTCTGTGAGGGATCACAGGCCCTGGTAGTGATGCTGCACAAGTGCTGCAAACAGTATTTTCCCTGGGGGCAAGCAGTGACAAACCAGTCTGTAAGCGCAGGACCACCTCCAGAGGGACGGAGGAGGCTAAAGACCACCCTGACAAGGGCAGCATCAGGCTGAGAAGCTTCAGCAACAACTTAATCCTTGCTCAAAACATGGATGGAGATGGCTCTGCAGGTGTTGCAAGGAGGCCTCCGATGTTGCCATGGTTCTGGTAAACCAGATAATCAACATGGTGCTTCACCTCTGCCATTTCCCAGAGGTCCCCTGACTGTCACATGCAAATGACTCCAAATAACAAAGACTTTCTATCAATCTCCTAAAGTCAAAGGATGATCTGAGTGGACTTGTCCTATTAACAGGAAAAGATCCAGATTGCCCTGGGATGAGGGTGCCCAAAATCAAGTAGGACACGGGTTACGAAGAGACTGGTGAGGTCACGTCTTGATCAAGATGGAGCAGAGCTTCTCCAGATGGATCAGCTTACCGCAGCTCTTCAAAAAGATGCATCCAGCCATGCCTTCCCCATTCAACAGCAGATGCTGCACCAAGAGATAGCAGGTGATGGGAGAAACTCACTGTCCCCTCAAATTTGTTATTTTCAGCAGGGCTGTCCCCAGGCAGTGCAGATCATGGCCCCCCACACCCAGAATTGCCTTGGTGTTCCACACACGGGCTGACACATCTCCGAGATGCTGTGCTCGGGGAAAAGCCAGAAGTGCAATCTTTTGTCACCAGCATGCTTAACTGGGGACCTCTCCTGGGATCAAGGAGCATCAGTGTCCCACACTGACCATTTTCATCTGTTGGACAGGTCTGGAGAGGGGTTAGGGATTCAAGTCAAAGCCTGGATTTCTGTCATGGGTGCCAGGTTAAGGGACAAACTCATGGACTTCAGGAAAAACCTCTTGCCTCTCTTCTGAGCTTCAAGAGGACTTGTGGCTTCCTGGAACTTGCTCTTTAGCAGGAACTGCAGGCAGAAGAAAACCCTGTCCAATGTCAAAAGGCAGTTCCTGCAGGAGACAGACGCTGAAGCTCGTCAGGAGCACTGATGCCATCCAGGACAGCCTCTCAGAGGAGATAACAGCTTCCAAGCTACAAGACGTTCAGAAGAAAGAGCTCCAGAGGAAAAAGATGCAACTTGAATTTGAAACAAAGAGGCTTTCCTTCAGCTCAGCCAAGAAAGTGAAGGGTGCACAGCCCACAGGTACAGAAAGGCTGTAGGGGAAGGGAGGTTGCCTGATCTCACTCCTGGGGACGCAGGAGGTACATTAGCTAGTTAACTCTGCTTGCCCAAGCACCAGTGAGGGGGGACAGAAGCTGGAAAAGGCAATGCTGCTGTAACACTGGGGGATTCTGCACCTCCAGGCAAGCATCACTTACTCACTGCTGGAATTTTTTCCTCCTTTTCCCCTTTTTTCTGAAACCAGCAGATTTTGCCAGTTGTATTTCTTGTCAAACTAAACAAAGAAGCATGCAGGTTTAGAACAAACATCATTCTATTTTACCAATCAATATGTAGAGAGAAAAGCAGCTAGAATTAAACAAAACCAAACCTCCTTTCATTCCTTCCTTACCTTCCGATGAAGTCCCTCCACCTCACACTCAAAATGTTCCTTCTCCTGCTTGGTTTGGATCTGTGTCTCTCCCAGAATTGATTCCAGCTCTTCATTGCGCTCAACCAAATCCTCGTGCTCCTGCTCCAGTTTCTGCAGCTTGTGAAGGAGCTGTGAATTCCTGCCCTCGATGTTTTCAATCACCTCTCGGCACCTACACACCAAAGACCGACTTCATTGAGGCTAGAACTGCTACGTAAACACATCGACACACATCCAAACCACTTACAACTGGCAAGGAAAAGCCGATGCGTTTTTCACTATGGAATACTTCTGTCCTGCTAATTTCAACTCCTGCATCCAGCATGACCTGCGCCTGCTCTTATTTAGGTGGCGATGCACGGGAATTAGTGGTGACGGACTCTGCACAAGTAATGGTGAAGGTCTGGGGGGAAAACTGGTCAGGCATGAGGATGCTAACAGCAGAGAGACAATGGCAAATTCAACTGCTTGCGGTGAGGGAACAGCCTTGGGCAGTAGAAGGGAAAAGAGAGTCAGAGAGATGGGATCAGACCCCCTTTCCTCCTTGAACCTGCTAGAAGAGGCGCAGCAGCTTCCCAAGCAGGCCACAGAAGAACGAAGCTTTGACTTCCCTTAACAATCCCAGTTTACATGTTTAAGTTCGAAAACCAAATGTTTTGGTACATCCCTGGACAGCAATGAAATCCAGAGAAATCTTCCCAGCAGCAAAACAGTTTTGAAAACAACACTTTTGTCTGCAGAGAGCTACAAAAGCCCAACCCTGTTCTTTTAGGAAATCAACAAAGCGGAGAAAGCGTCAGAAAACAGCCCACATTCGTGATACCAAGGGCCAGACACCCATTCAGGACTGCATTACCTCCAAACTTTCTGATTTGGGAGCAGAAGAACAAAGTTAGTACCAAAGAGTATTCTAAAGAATCCAATACCTAAATCCACTCAGCAAGACAGAATACCAGCAACCAGAGCGCCAGATAAGCCACCGTGAAAATACAACAGATGAAGTATTTCTACGCTGCTCACCTTTTATGAAGTGTTTCACTACCCTGATATCTGTCCTCTTGATCTGAGCCAGCTTGGCCTGAAACATAGTCTCCTTCAATCCTCCCTTCATCCTTTGTGCCCTGTGTCTCAAGAGAAAATGAAAAGTTAGCACATAATTAAGACTGAAATCTCAGCACAATGTGATTCCAAAGCTACTCGAGTCTCTCACAACCAGAAAACATGAGCTACATCACCTATAGCTATCGGCATTAGACAACCCACCAGCCACAGGAGCAAAGCCCCCCCAAGACCCATAATAACACGAAGGCACTAGTGGGTATTAGCTTACGCCAACGGACATGCTCTACACGTGAGGGTATCTGTCATGCCCAGCATAACTCCTACGTCACACCAGCACAGGATGCACTCGCGCATACAGAGAAAGGAAAGCACAAGCGTTTCTGCACTACAAGCTGTGCGTCTTCATTTATGGCATGGGGCTGAAATGCCGGTTTGCTTAGTTTGCTTTCTAGAACGTCAAACAAAAAGCCCTTGAAAATACCTGCAGCGAGGATGCTGCGACTTCTTCAGTCTCGCCGGGCGCAGGCAATGGAAGTCCTTGCTTCTCACTCTTCTGATACTCACAGATCTCCTCTTTGAGCTGTTCAACCTTCAGGAGGAAAACACTTGCTTTTATTTTTGGTGAATGTTCACCTTGCTTAGAGAATTAAGATTTCTCTCAATTAGATGTAGATAACCTGCAGATTCATGAATATTAACCACTCAGCTTGAGGGATTTGTTGAGACCACGTGGCTGCTCCAGCCGGCTGGCCTCAAGACTATTGAAAGAGGCAAAGAGCAGTAAAAGGGGGAATTCCGGGCTGCATTAAAGGGTAAGTCATTTTTCTGCATTTATTTCAATTACTGATCATGCACACGTTGTACACCCCCTTATACTGAAGGGGACCGAGTGCAGAGGGGTAGACAGATTACAACCACTATTTCTGAGGACACCTTTTAGTCTTTGCTATTATCGACAGGATCAATAAAATATTACTATTATTAGCAGGTAACTGTTCACTCCACACAAACTTACTCACTCGCACACTCACTCTTGGCTACCGGTGGGAGCAGTAGCTGGGAGGCCAACCCCAGCCATTTACTCGGAAGTGCAGGGTCACACCGCCGTGGCTTCTGGATGGATGTTCGAGAAGTCCTGCGGTCGGTGCTCACCGGCATCAGATGCAGATGTGATCCTGTACTCTTCAAGCGCACCCAGCAGCACAGGCGGATGCCATCTGAGCTTCACGCAGTCGATGCCAGGGACCTTGCACAGGTTCAGCGGACCATTGGTGTCCCAGGTTTGTCATTTTTTGCAGATTTAACAGCACTGCTGGTCTCTGGAGCTATCAGTCCTTGCAAAGCTTTCACACACCACCATCTCAGCATGCATTTTCCCTTTCTTCAGCCTCCATCCACACCCAGAGGCACCGGCAGAGCCCACTCGCACAGACTCGCTTACACCCCACAGACGTCGAATCCTGCCCAGCTAAGGCTCAGCACTCCAACCGGTGGAGCACACGGCGGGGACGAGGCCGGTCTCCCACAGGCCACCAAACCAGAGCCAACTGGCCAGCCCGCTCCTCACTCTGCTGCCCACAACTCACAGGCAGGGGGGGAAAAAAAAAATATATATATATACACACTTCAGGATGTAGAATTTCTGTGGCTCGTAATCAAGTACACTTTCAGCTTCTACAAAATAAAAATCGTGGTTTTCTAACTTCTATGCCAACAGTTAAACCTCGTTCCTAAGGAATAAAGGTAATTTGCTTTTAGCTTAACAATATGGTTAGTTGGAAGTGATCTCAGTCTGGCTACATTTTTTTTCTGTACAGAGAAAACAATACCTTACTTGTATCTGTATATTTTTGTGTATATATATTTCTTTACACATATATATATATATGTGTATATACACGTGTATGTATACAGTGACTGAAAGAAGCAATGTCCTAAAGCAAAGAAAACGTTATTTAGAAAAAAAAGTTAACCAAGGAATGTCAACTAAATTACAGAATATTTTTTTGCAGACCCAGAAGCAGACTGTCCTGTAAATACAAGGTCTGAGATTACAGATATGCTTAGATGCTGTGCTAAGGAAGAACCAGCAACTTTTTTAAATGCAAGGAACAGAACTACACGAATGTGAATAAATGATATTCAAGAAAGTAAGTCTTTGATATTATTTGAAAGAGATATTCTCAGAGATACTTACATTAATTTAAAAATACTCATTTTAATCCAAGAGAACTGCAAGGCAGCTACTGAGCTTTCCATGCTAGGATGGCATAAGTAATTATAGGCTGCTGGCAACCAATTATAGGCTGCTGAAGGACTGATATAAAGAATTTAAGAGTTAAGATCAGAAACAGAAGTTGTGCCAAATGACACATTTTAACAGGAAACATTGTTATATTCATTCACTATCGGCAATCTCAGTAAGGAACTATCTCGTTGATGAAGATTATTGCATTTAGAGAATCCTAAATTTATTATGTCAAGCATTTAACTAATAGTAACGTAATAGTAAGTAATTCACTTAAGAAAGCCCCCACAAAATGAAAAGAAATGTTTATCTTCTACTGAGCAAATCAGCGTAGCCACATTAAAAAGCCAAAGAGGCTGAGATGTATCAAAACATGAGCATAAATTTTAAATTGTTTTTAAAATAGCTAGTATTGGGTTTTAGTCTAAACTTACTCACTGTCCTTACTAACAGTCCCTAAGAAAAGGTAGAAATGTTGTTTACCCTCTTTACCCACTTGATTTTCTGCAAACATTGGCTAGTAACAGAAAGCATCAAGCTGACCCTGTCCAGCGGGCACACTAAAACATCTGTTTCGGGGCCCCACGCTGCAAGCCCTAAAGCCCGTACTCAGCTGGAGCACGCACAGCCCCCTCGGTGGCCAGCGAGGCATCAAACTCTTCCTGCGCTGAAGGATGCTATGAGAGATGGAGTTTTTCAGGGCTGCAGTAACAGCAGCTGCATAAAAACACTCTTTGGATATTTATTCTGCCCGTTTCCCAAATTTTATTGCTCCATGAGCCATGGAACATCAGAACCACGGCTCTGGAAAGACTCGCTATAGAAAAGAGCGGGGAAAGAGAGAGGCAGGGCAGGTGAAGGAGCAGGACTGACCATCAGGAGCCAGCCCAGGAGCATCACCCACGCAGAGGTTCGTGGGTGCCACGGCAGACCAGATCCACCAGCAGGAGATGAGTACTCACCAGATCGAGGAACGCTTTCCTTTCCAAATCGAGCGTTTGGACCCGTGCTCGCAGCGCCAGGATTTCCCTGTCCAGTCTGCTGTTGTGCTCCATGGCCTTCTGTAGCTCAGTCGGGTCTGCGCAGAACAGAACAAACAGGTCACCGACGCTGCTTTGGAGCTTGACCTCCACCAGGCTCAGCGCGGGGCTTTCACATGGATAAGGGTTCTGAAACGGCATCGCCCTCCCGCACAGGCGTACGTGTGCAAGAGCACAGAAGGGAGCTCCGCAAACGCACGGGAACACGTTCTCTTACTCCCAGAGTAGAGGTTTGTGGGTCTGGAGATCCAGACTCAATAGCAGTGCTGTGTTTGTTACAGGAGCGCAGTAGTCTCTCCATAGTTATTCCAGGGATTCAGTTTACCTCTAGATCATGGAAAATGCCCCACCTCAGATATTTAGGCATGGGTTTCACAAACAACTAGGGTAAGCTTTGAAAAACCCAAACAGCTGTATTTCTTACTTTCATCATAAAATTCATAACTTGCTACAAGAAGAAACACAATCACAGTTGACGTTATCGGTGTTGTGCTAGCATTAATGTTCGTGAAATGGCCAGTACAGTAAAAATTATGGTTGTATACCAACCCTTCCAGTCTGAATCAATAAACATACGCAACTCTCACACCATTTAATGCAGACTATCTAGTATTTCAAGTGCAAGAAATAGGAAAAGATGTTTGTATTAGGAGCCCATCGACAGAAACGTGTCCTTGTACACACCAGTATCCTAATGAAAACTAGTGAGAAGACAGTTTTCCTTTCAGAAAAGGTGAACAAAGATTTTTCCCTTTTCAACTTAATGCTGGGCACAGGAAATTTCAGCTTAAATTTGACTTTTATTCAGGCAAAAATAAAAACATATCTTCTTTCTTGGTCTCAATCTGGCAAAAAAACCAAAACCAAAAACAACCCACAACCCCAAACCCCTGTTTAAAACAAGGATTTTGAAATTGGATTTTCAGTTTTGTAACTTAAAATAAAAGGCAAGGCACACCTTCTACTGAAGCATTCATTCTGCTGAAAAGCCCATTTACCACTAAGAAAGCCTTGATAAAATTCCAGATCTTCTCTGCTTGTAAATAGCATCACTTACCGCTCTCCTTCCATTTGTCCACCCCTTCTTCCCAGCTCTCAGGCGGTCGCAGGGCTGACCACGAGGCCGATTCTACAAGGATAACAAAGAGACAGTTTTGCCGTGGCAGTCCATTTGTATGCTTCTGAACGCTAAACTCTGCAACAATTTTAATGCACTTTGTTAGATACAACGTTGAAGGAAAACTAAAGAAAAAAAATTAAAGCCGCAGGCAGCTAGGCACACAATTTAAAATCTCTAATCACCAAAGACCCAATAACTGGGCTACAAACTGGCCAGCAAAAATCTTGTATTTTCGCTTCAATGCAAGCAAGCAGCTGCAAGTTATTATTGAACCAAAATACACTGTTTAAGTGGAGTTATATTAAAGATCAGACATTTAATTTTAGGTTTTTATTAGAAAATCAATTTATGTATAGAGCAGTTGGCTCTGAAGCTCATCGGGACGAGAAGGCATGCAGATATACATCATTGGGGAAGGCACGAAGATGTTATAACACTAATTTTGCACACTGATACTCACAGCATAATAAACCACACAGACATAAGAAGCATCAAACCCTTACTCACAGTTTGGAAGGCCTTATATTCATTTGATACTTAAGAAGTTTATAAAACACAGATTTCCCCACACAGGCTACGATCCACTGAGAGGAGTCGCCTGCTGCAGCCCATCCGTGATCTGGAGAAGCAGTACTGTTCGGAGGCTGCAACACAACGCTTGCTCCATCCCCAGGGACACGTCTGTATCAATCAATACACAAAGCAGATGCCCGCAGAGTGCTCGTTTCCCTGTCTTTGATTAAAAGGCTGTAAATGATGGTTTTGGAGGCTGGCTAGAAGGTTTAGCTAGGTCTGAGTGTTGTGCGTGAGCTGTGAGGTCAGCATCGCGAGCCGCGATTCACACATAAACCCTGCCCAGGTGGTACCAGTCTCCTCAAGTGAATCAGTCTCTGCAAAGGCACATGGGGCAGGAATATGTTCTCTCACCACGTTTTGCTGTTCTCCACTGAAATTCTGCGTCGCGGATTTTGGGACAACGTAAGTAACCCAGAGAAAAGGCATCCAGAAAAGAGTGTTTTGCTCAGGAAATCTCCTGTAGGAGGTAGCAGTGAAGCACCACTCCAACAGAGGCTTTATCAAGTAGTTTGATTTCCCTCCAGAAAACTCTTTATTTTTACAGTCAGTATTAAAAAAAGAAAAAAATAATGCTTAAGGGCTGGTCAACAACAATTATTTCAATAAGGAGGTTAAGCAAATATTAGCAGTGATAAGAATCTAACGATTCACTTCAAGACTGCTGATAAGCTCCGGTTGTGAGCACTTGCTAACGGCTCCTAACGAGGCAGCATCCTAAACACAGCATCCGAAGAGCCTAGAGAGAGTGGTGCAGCTGTGCTAACACTGAACACGGTATGTTCGCCACTCTGTTTCTGGACCAAGTCACCATTTCCTCTCCCTCCCCTCCTAGGGCATCAACCTGCATATGAGCCAGGGAGAGGGAGTCAGTCAAGACACTGCTGCTGTAATCACGGATCAGATAACCCCACGTCTCAGATTTCCCCACTCAGAATTAATTGATTTGTGACTGCTAATGACTGCATTCAGATCCCCTAGGTACCAGGCTAACGTCTGACACTGATTTTTCCACATTACAAGCACACAGGACACAGGACAGCCTGCCTCCAGCTCCCCTGGGTGAGAAGTCCAAGGGGTGGGCTAATTGCAGGCCAGTAATTAGGAGTGGCCACAAGAGAAGCACTCACCTATTTTGCTCTCCTCCTTTCTTTGTGCATCCAGCTCATCTGTCAACCTCTGAATCTCTTCCTGGGCCATCATCAGCCTCTGTGTGGCCTCATCCAGATCTCGTTCAAGTCTTGCACGTGATGCTTGTTCCCTCTCCAGCTCTTCCCTGTAGAACTGAAACACAAGGGCTAATGCTGCAGCGGAAAGGAGATAACCCTCCCAGGGATGTGACCCAAGGCAGGACCCCCTCCACGCTATTCCTGACCCACCAGAACGAGGGAGACAACACAAACAGAAAGCAAGTGAGCTCGGGGAAGCCACTGCAGAGGCAGAAGACAGACACGCAGTGGATAACCCTCTTCACCATGGACACATGCCAATAAGCAGGTGCTGAACAGCATGCTGTGGCTGTTTTCCTGGCTCTGTTTTTCCCTCCTTGAGACAATACCGTTAGTTACGATGCATTTTCAAACACATAATATACGAGGTTTTCCAAGCAGAGGGCTCCACCACACCCCGTGAGAGCTTCTCCAAGGACAAGTCAATTCTGTACATTGGTGGTCCTGTGGCTGTTGTGAGAGCTAGCCCCAAGCCACCCTGGCACTGCTAACCTCCTCTTACAGCCTGCGCTTGATCCGGGAGCGCAGGAGAAAGACAGTGATTCTGCAGAAAAGTCATTTCAGCTGATATAAAAAGAGCTATTCCTCACCCCCTGGACTTTGGTCCACTCATTGGAATGGGCTGCCCAGGGCGGTG